TGAAGCTTTTATATTCTAGTCGCCATATTCTAAACTTTAAGTGCCGTAAAAAGTTGTGTGAAAGCCTCATATTATCAATTTTAGCTTACTCTCTAGTCCTCATTTACCCATGCCTAGACTCAGCTTGCAAGTCAAAATTGCAGAAGCTTCAGAACAACTGTTGCAGATTCATATTTGGGCTTAGGAAGTACAGTAGCGTTTCCTCAAAAATCAAGGAGTTACAGTGGCTCAGAGTTGACGGCTTATACAACTACTCTATGGCTTCATTGGTGCATAGAATTTTTAAAACTGGTAAACCCGTCTATTTGCTCTGTAAGTTGATTCCTCGTGGTAACCAAATTACTCTAAATCTGCGGCACAATGATCTACTTTCCATTCCTATACATCGTACGTCGGTCTTTGAAAGGTCCTTTACTTATAATGCGGTCAAGGTATACAATTCTTTGCCAGCTATCTCTAAGAGCTTAAGTTTGCAGCGCTTCAAGAAGATAGTCAAGTTGCACTTTCTGGACTCAGCACATTGAGTGATAAATTCATTTTGCTGAACGATATCTTGTTCTTTTTTTTTCTTATTTTCTTTGTATATGTTCATATTATATATTTACCTTTTTAATGCATTCCTTACAGCTACTGATTCATGTTGTTATGCTAATGTTTTGTAATGTCTGGTTGTAGTATGGTTAAGTGGTAGAGTAGCCATGGCTAAACTTCGCCATACTATGATCATCTTTTGAATAAAGTCATTATTATTATTATTATTATTATTATTATTATTATTATTAACTCTCAGTAGAATAACTAATGCCCCATGGTATGTATCAAACGATACCATCCATAGAGATCTTGACATCCCCTACCTTAGGGATTACATCATAGGTATGGCATAACGGAGCTACCAGCAAGCGGAATCGCACAGCAACACTTTGTTGCGTGAAGCAGTGGATTACACAGTCGAGGAGATACGCAAACATTTCAGGTCGTGACTCGCACTGTGCACAAAATTAAATTCATGTTCAGACGTTTAAAAATTATAGTTTTTAAAAACCGAAGACCCAAAATTCAGTTCAGGACAAGTCAAAAATTTACATAGTACAATGTAACAGTTCTTAGATCTATCCCACCTCAAATATTTACATAAAACAATTCCTTTTCTTTCACTTTTCGCTCCTACTTCCTTCCTTTCTTTCTCCCTCTTCCCTTTCCCCACAACTTGTCTGGTTTCTGGGCCACCAGACCTGACAGACTGACGGCAGACACTGACATTACAGTGACTATGACCTCAAGGCTAAGGTCCTCCGGACCGCCTTGAGAAGCAACGACGAGTAGTATCAAGTTAACACAAAACACGTAATTCCTTGTTCTGTGGCGCTTCTGGCAGCCACTGTACTGCTCCAAATGCGCAGTAGGCGTCTGCTCACTTTTAGCATGATATTATTTAGAAGAGGTTCTGAAAAATTCAGCACTAAATTTTTTCAGACAAAATTATGTACTAAATACTGTCTGAGACTATCCTTAATTTTGTATGAAATTTAACGTACTAAATTTAGCACAAAATTTCATATCGTGACAGACTGTTTTGAAGCAGTTTTCAGGGCTCTAGTTTCGGTGTCATCAATCGATTATTTTTCGCTTTGAAACTTTTAAGCTTGCTATCGCGACCATCTGATACTACACGCTTTTCATATGACACCACACAAAAAAATTAATGGGCACTAACTGGAGATGGCATAAGTCCAGCATTTCAAATACATTTTTCTAGGACTTTATTCTTACTTTGAATTTCACTGTATAACAATATAAAAGTTGCATTAAAACCCTTAAAGCCAATTCAATCATTATGATTCTCACTTTCTTTCTCCATACACGTCGCTCACCATTCCGAATGCCTACCTGCTACCTTGGAGACAAGAAGCTGTAACTTCTGTATATCTGTTTCTGGTCACAGTTTCTGATGAACTTACGACTCATAGAAAACTCAAACTAGAGTTTCTGATATTTAAAAAATTAATTGTGCAAGAGAATTTAAAATCCAACAGCAACAATAGGGTTATTATTTAGAACAATCCAAAGAAATTATGACTACAACAGTTTTACCACTCTCCAAATTTTGTTACCGTGTTTCGATAACGACTTAGCATCTCCAGGGTAAGGCTTAAACTAAAATCCTAAACTATATACAACCTAATATACTTACAATGCTTTTCAGAAAGTTACCCCCCTCCTCCTTATTTTTTGAACGGGTCGAGTTAGCAAGATGAAATGCGGGATGATGGAATTTATGCATAAATAACTACATAAATTTTAGCATAAGATATTGGTTGATTTTTTTAAACAATGCCTCATTTTGAAGCTCCTTATGAGTACTTTATGGCCTTAGAATATAAAATTACTATCTTTCAAAGTGGCGGACTGGCTTTCTGTCAAAACTCAGAGTTTTTGTAGGTTGTGCCGTTTATAACTCAACAACTAATCGTCAAAACTTTTTATAGTCTAATGATTAGACTCTAATCATATTAGCAATTTTCCCCGAAATAATTGTAAAGTCCGGTTTTATTGGTGCAAGTTGTTCAAGGGTGAATTTAAGATATGGACGCATAAAATGGGTATACCAAGTGTTGTCAGAAACCAAAAAACTCTTGAAATAATATTTTTAGATATTTATGACGCCTACAGAATAAGACCGCACGTAAAAAGATCCGACTAATGGTAAAAAAGTTATGTCCGAAAAGCGACGCAAAATGCAGGGTTTGGCACTTGTTGCTAATACGACAATAATTTCACCCAGCTACTTTAAATTCTTCAAATCCGTAGGCTTTACTTCTAAATAACCACATCAAAATTGGAGTTGATTGGTCAAGTAGTTTTTGAGAATCTCTAATTGTTTATCACTACTAGTTTGCTGAGCAATATACAGGGTTCGTTCAAAGGGCATTTTATAGCAAAATACAAGAGTTTGCCTTGCCGACATGAATCACAAACCATTCCGACAAATAATGGTTATTTTCATGCAAAAAAGAAGGGTTGCGTTTTTTCTTGTAAACAAATTCAAACACTTAATATTTGTGAGTAACTGAACTGATTCGCTACGATATTCGAAAAACATACGTTATTATACACATTTTAAAATAAAGCGGATGCGTCTACCACCTTTTGCTGCGAAGAATACATTTTTTTTTCAAGGATTATTCATGCTGAAATTTTTACACGGTCACAGAGGAGCCTTAAAGTTTATAAAAAAAAGTGAAAGCCTTTCGCATGTCTTAAACTAGTTAGTATGTAGCATGTGCTAAATTGCCTCATTATTGATGACTGCATGACTGTCAAATAAGTAGGTCACGTAATCCAGTTTCTTTACGAAGAATATACTTCCCTGGACCTTTTTTCCTAAAAATATTATTACAGTATACGTCTGTTTTCGATATCTCGTACGATTAAAATGACTGTGACAAAATGTTGGTAAATAATTTTGAGAAGACGAAAAAACAGTAGACAAATATCAACCAATTGTAGCGAACTGACCGCCTAAAAATTTAGGCAAAATGCCCGGTATTAATCCCTAATACATTAATTAAAGTTTCAGCATTGTATCTTGTATGGTTTTCAAGAGTCTTCTAATTGTTTATAACAGATTTGATATGCCTCCAACTTTCGCTTGACATTTGTCAGAGTCAAGTTTAGTGGTATATAGCTAGAGTAAGCCAAGAGGCGTCGTAGTGTAATGGGAAAGAGTAACGATTGCAGAACCGCAGCACGGAGGTTCGAATCCACAAAGCTCCCTTTTTTCTATTATTTTTTTTAATTTGAAGAAATAAATGCTTTTTCACATTATGTGTACTTTTATTTCAATCAAACAGTTTTTCGCACGCCATAGACAATGTAAGCTTGCAAACAGGAAACCAGCGGTATACGTATGATTGTTTATAATTTTTTTATATTACTTTGATAAAATTTCAGAATCGCTATGTCGAATCATAGCAGGCAATTTTTGAAAACATATATCTTAGATGTGTAAGTTATTAACCAACAATAATGAAAGACATCCGAAATTTTGTTTGTGAAAATACGCTCATGGTGGCTCCCAACATATTTTAAAAAGGTGTATGAATCATAAAAGCTACCGCAAATTTTGTAAATTCTCATAATAACCACAGGCAGCGGCAACACTGCGGTGAGCGATCTGCTCGAGAACGATCTCGATTACTTTAAACGGAATAAATTCGCAAGGCGCGGCGACAGTGTTTAAAACTTAACGGCACAAAGACCAGCGGTTGGATTCGAGTTGTTCTGCAATTAAAAATATTATGAGCAGTAGTAAGAATATAAAGAAATACCATTTCCATTCGGAATGGGAAGAACAATATTTCTTTTCCGAAGTTAAAGGTAAAAATGTATGTTTGTTATTTACTATAGTACATCTGTTTCCATTGCTAAAAACTATAAAACTGTACATTCGAATTTTGAAAAATTATTCCTATTACGTTCTGCAACCAGAACGGAAAAACTGAAACAATTAAACAATCAGTTAATTGGACTACAGACAATGTTTTTAAAAACAATCGACAAAAGTAAGGCTGCAACTAAAGCATCATACCGGGTGTCCCAGATAATTACACAAAAGAAGAAACCTTATGAAGACGGGGAAACGATAAACCGGCGTTTTTAGAAGCTGCAGATTCAGTATTTGCCAACTTTAGAAATAAAGACGAGGTGGTGTCTGCTATAAAATCTATACAACTTTCTGCTAATACAGTGATGAGACGAGTAGAAGTAATGAGCAATGATATATTTTTACAGTTAGGAAATTACTTCGATAACTGTGCTTATTTTTCACTGCAGCTGGATGAATCCACAGATGTCATTGACACGTCAGGATGGTTTTTAGTGATTTTACGATTAAAGATCTTTTGAAGCTTATTCCTCTAAAAGGACAGACTACTGGGCAGGTCTTGTTTTCTTCTTGTAAAAATATTATTTCTCCTGAGAAAATTCCAATATCGAAAATGGTAGGCTTGACAACCGATGGCGCTCCAGCTATGGTGGGTAGTGATAAGGGTCCCGTGGAGTTATGTCGTAAAGATGAAAGTTTTCTGCAATTCCTCTGTTACCACTTTATTATCCATCAGCAAGCGTTATGTGGACATTTTCTAAAACTAAACAACGTTATGAAATTGGTAGTAAAAATTGTGAAGATTAGAGCTCGAGCATTACAAAGAAGATTATTCAAAACCTTGGCCGATGATATTGACTGTCAATACGTGGAACTACTTCTTCACTCTGATGGTTTAGTAGGGCACGAGTGCTGAAACGTTTCAATGATATCAATCTGCCATAGTTCAATTTTTGAAACAACGTGATGAACCGATTCCAGAACTGGAAAATTCAATCTGGCTTAGAGATTTCGGTTTTCGTGTGGATATTACAGAAAAATTAAACGATCTTAATTTGCAACTTCAGGGGAGAGACAAAGAACTAACAGAAATGATTTCTGATATGAAAGCGTTTATCAAAAAGCTGGGAATAAAACTGAATCGATGGCGATACCAGGCATTTTCCTGTTCTTTTAGAAATAGTCTCTAACTTGAAGGATAACTTCAAAAATCGTTTCAAGGATTTCAACGAAATTGCTAAGTGGCGCAATTTGTTGTTTCACCCTTCATGGAAATTGATATGCAACAGTTAGCAATTTCTGTTACGCAGAATTTTAGCGAAGACGTCGCTGCGACCGAAATGGAACTGATTGCGTTTCAAAATGATCTATCTTTAAAATCATTAGTCCCAAATACAAAATGTATCTGGCCTTCAGTAAGTAAAGATAAATATTCAGTTTTATGTCGTGTTGCCTTGGAAGTGAAGGCGTTACTTAGTTCAACCTATTTGTGTGAATCTTCTTTTTCAAATATGAAGTTTATTAAAAACAAAGACCATAATCGACTTACAGATGAACATTTGGATAATTGTATTCGAATGGCTGTATCAAATTATAATCCAAACATAAAAAGAATTGTCAGTGAGTCTGAGTTTCAGGCTTCTCACTGAACAGGCCGTTTCTATCTGGACATGTTTTTGTTTAAAATAGTGCGTTGTTTTTTTATTTTTAGTTACCTTTATTAAATCGTCGTATGTGACGTGCCAAGTGTGTTACTTATGATAACACGAAATGGGTGGGGAAAAGGTATGTGTGCGGCAAAGTGCTACTTTCTACATGCGGATGCGTGTTGAAAGTGAGCACCTTCCGCGCGCCCTTATACTACTATACTTGACACTGAAAAATGTCAAGCGAAAGTTGGGGGCATATCAAATATGTTATAATCAATTAGAATACTCTGGAAAACTATACAAGATACAATGCTGAAACTTTAAATAATTTATTAGAAACTAATACCGAGCATTTTGCCTAATTTTTCAGACGGTCAGTTCGCAACACTTGGTTGATATTTGTGTACTGTTTTCTCGAGTTTATTTTCCAATATTTTGAGCTCGCAGTCCTATACTGTTTTAATGCGTTTAGAAAAATGGTGCAGGGAATTATATTTCTGACCTACTTATTTGATAAAGTTACGCAGTCATCAATAATGCAGCCATTTAGCACATGCTACATACTAACTAGTCTAAGACATGCGAAAGGCTTTCGCAGCCATCATCCAATGTTATTTGGTTAGTTTTTGGGTAGTTAGGACGTCGTAAAATATTTTTACTTGAAGTTTCGCCAACACGAGTGGTTGGCATCTTCAGAAGATGTTCACAGTTCGAAGTCCTGTGATCCACTGCGAAACGTCAAGTAAAAATATTTTACGACGGCCTAACTACCCAAAAACCAACCAAATAACATTAGTCTAATGCAGTTTGAAAAATAATTGTGTCTTCTAGACCATCTAGACCCCCTATCTCGCATGTCGACAAAAATAAGCAACGCGAAGACCCCCGCCCCCTTTAGTCCTTTCGTAATACTTGAATGATCCCATACTATATATTACTTTGATGATCGCTCAATGTCCTGCGCTCCAATTTGGCAGTCTGTGAAACCGCCATTTTGAAGGATAGTGATTTTATATTCTAGGGTTATAAAGTACTCGTACCATTTAAAAAAATATTCTAAGATGGTGCACAGGCGCAATCCTAAAACTTTCAACTGCCACTTTTACGTTAAAATACAGTAATCATGCATCATTTCATCGCCCCGAATTTCAACTTGCTGGAGTATTAAAAAAACGGTTTGTCTAGTAGTAAAACAATGTTGTAGTCGTAGTCGCTACGCCAAAGAATTCCACATCACATATAATAAAAAAAAAATTAATCAAAGTGTCAAAATTAAGGAACAAACGTTAAAATAATTAGATCTATCTGAGGAAGTTTGACTATGTCTGTAGTGTAGTGTAGTGTAGTGTGGTCTTTCAGAAATCAAAATATCGATGGCTTGGGATGTTCTAAATATAACGCATTTTCATGAACATCAAAATGGTAAGCGTACAAACCAATTAGAATAAGAATCTTTAAGCTATAGGAACTTCAAGAGTATTAAACCTTATTTGAAATTTGAAGACATAACCATCTGTTGACAATCGCTGCTGCACATGCTACATCACATGCCTAGAACTATTAAATACATTTGATACGAAAGTTGCAATAAAAATCATAAAACATCAGAACTCATTATTCTAAACACATGCCCGCCACCGTTAGCACCCTTGGTGGAAAGCTGCTCGTCTTTTGTTGCAAAATATTTAATTTATAGGATTTGGATACATGGAAAATATAATTGCATATTTAATTTCTATATATTCATTATGATTATATTTTATAAGAACTTGCAAATCATAAAACAAATATTTTAGACAGTCAATGTCAAATTAGGGAGTTACGCATTATTTGAATGAATATAAATAAAAAAGACGCTCACCAGAAACATTGTATCAATTATTTTGTACAACCCAAAGATATACAGCAAGTTATCAAACTCGATATAAATGACTAAAATTGTTAGAACCTTCTAAAATTGTTTGATTATGTTTCATTGAGTTGAAAGCTAGAAGGATATTATTTTACAATGTTCTGAAATCCTTGGTTCTACTCGATACTAAACATCTAATGAACATTTTTTTAAAAAAACGCACTATTGCGCGCTAGGTATTACAAACTCCCTCCAAATACAAAAGAAAACAAAAACAAGCCTTCAAATTAGTCAACTTCAAAAGTGGTAGATATAGAAATAAGAATATATGAGAGATAAAAACTTGAAAGGATGAAGTCTTATTTACAATCCCAATATTCTTCACAATCTCGCCGTTGGGGCAAGTAGAAAACGATCCGTTGAACAGACGCTGCACACTATATGGCCACATCACTTCAGAACTAATAAATCGATATAATATAATAGGAAAATTGTAATAAAATACTAAACCAACCAATTATAGTAATACTTCTCTTCAAAATTCTGAACTCACCATTCTAGACGCATACCCGCCACCGTTAGCGTCCTTGGTGGTTTTCTGGTCGTCTTTCCGCGGGAGGTTGCCCTTCCTACCGACGTGCGCCATTTTGACTTGAATGATACTGAAGCGGTGGTCGGCTAGGATTTTCCGGCAAGCCGGGAAACGGGGGACGCGCGAACATGCGTCCCAAACACCCTACAAACCCTTCCAAACAGTGTTGCCACACCAACACTCAATCCTTGGGATCTCGGCAAACATACTTGTAGTAACATGGCGCTGCTAATGATCTGGGATCCATGTACCATGAAATATCTATCATGGGCGTCCACGGGGGTACCAGGACAGTGTCTCCCCTGAGAATCCGTCGGCCCTATAAGCGGAGTTTTCGGCCTAAACAGAAGTCGTATTTCAAATTGACCGCATATATGAATTACTTGCATTGAACTATTAAAGAGCTAGCGTATTTAAATTTCCATACACTTTTCTTTTTATTTTAGTTTTTTAATAGGTCAAAGGTCGCTTTGTCATTTTTGTCCGAAATTTTAACTTAAGAATTTTTATATAAGCGCAAGGTCGAGACACTTTCTACCTCAAATTTATAATAAAAAACACCAAGACGCGAAGCATGTATGAAAATAAAAGTATTGGCCCACTGCGCTCACACTTAAAACAAAAGTTGGTGTATCATTATGATTGTGTATTGATTTGTTTGAACTTTAGTTTTTAATGTGGCCGAGTGGAGCAACACTTTTATTTTCAGATATGCTTAGTATCTTGATATGTTATATATTATAGTTTTGAAGTAGGAAGTATTGCGATCATGCGCTCATGGTAAATTTTGAACAAAAACGCCAATTTTGAAAATTTGGTGTTTTAAAAAGCAATTAAGTACCAGAATAACAAGAAAAATGTCGATAAAAGTATCAAATACATACGTTCTAAAATATTTAAATGCAAATATTTCATATATTCATTCAAAAAGTAGCCTTCCAACGCTTAGGTGTCAGGATGTAACGACTGTAACCGACACAAAGACTTCGCGAGATCCAACGCCTGAGAGTCGTCGATTCAAAGGGTTCCCTGCTCTATGCGGGAAATAATCTTCAGGCATAAGAGAGCGTGCTCTTGTCGCTCGACATCAATAAAGCTTCTGGTCCAACCCTTACAACTACAGGCCTATACCTCTGCTTTATGTTGTAAGTAATATGATGGAGAGGTGCAAGAATCGGCCTTTGGAGTACCTTGAACGTCACGGCTTGATTAGCCACAGGCAGTATGGTGTCCGGCACCAGCGATCCGCGGGGGACCTCCTAGCTTGCGTCACGCGACTGTGGAGCAAACTCATCCAGTCCTATGGTGAGGCTCATGTCGTTGTTCTTGACATCACGAAAGCGCCGCGAATCAGCTGAGACATGCAGCTCTCCATTCTATGGCCTCCCAGAGAGGCTTTGAGTGGCTGACTTCCTCTACGGCTGCAACGTATCGGTCCTAATTGAGGCGTACTCCTCTTCAGCCCACATTGTCAACGGAGCCGTTCCCCAGGGATTGGTCTTGGCTCCGACATTGGTCCTCTTACATATCAACGGACTTATTTCCTGTACGATCAATTTGATTCACATCATTGCTGATGACAGCACTCCACATGCAGAAATTCAGAGTGACAAGTCAACCTCTGCCGGTGTGCTGGTGAAAAGAATACTGGCAGCGACTCTGACGAGAGATCTGGAGATTATCACTGGTTGGGGACGCAACAATATGGTACAGTTTAATGCTTCCAAAACACAGAACTGAACCTTGAATAACAAGAAGGGCCCTAGCGTTGATCCGGTTTCGATGGATGGCCGAATTCTACCAAAGAGTCATTAGCGGCCGCTGCTGGGAAAAAGCAAGACTATTTGTTTAGGGCTACGAAGCAATTTTCTCCATAATGATCTCCTCAACACCCAAATGAAACCTAGCCTCGAGTACTGCCCGCATGTTTAGGGTGCTGTCGACCCGACAACATCATCCATGCGTGACGCTGTTCAGAGAAGGAATGTCCGACTGATCGATGACTTTTCTCTAATGGTCAGTCTCGGGACCCTTTCGCAACGACGAACCGCCGGCGATCTAGCTCTCTCGTATTGCTACACCAACGAACATTGCTCCTCATGATGCCGCCGGGCGATGTACCTGCCAAACAGACCCGCCTGACCTCGGCCTCCCATCCTGACTGTTTTGAGCTTCGTATATCTGGAACTGCCCGATACGGCCAATCAGTTAAGCATAGGGTATCGAGACTGTGGAACAAGCTTCCTGAGGAGGCTTTTTCCAGTTATACTAACTTTAGGCAACTCAAATAACTCGAAGTGCGCTGATGGGCCGGCGCGGCGAACTCTGTATTGTGAATTGGGACGTCATCACGCATCGGCAAAACGGCAAATACTAAATTTCTCGGCAGCGTAACTTTTTTATTTTTTCAGATTCTTAAAAAATACGGTTTATTTTGAGTCTGAGTTATAGACCTTCCTTGAGGCGTGAGGCTTCCTTGGAAACAATGGATATCAGGTACGTCCATGCAAACAGTAAAACAATGTAGCTTTCTCAGGGAACGCTCTCGGTAAGATTTAAATTTTCATTTCACAGTAGGCTGTCTCAGTTGCCGTCACAAGACTTCATCGATGATGGAAAGATTTTTCTTTGCTGGATGGATCTATTTAGCATTTTGATGATAAAATTGGGATTATTTAGTTTATTTGTGCTAAACACCAATAAATAAATAATAGTTTAAAAAACTAAAAAACACTTTTATAGCTAACCGAATTAAAAAGTAGAAAATAATTTTTAATTACAAAGAGTTTATATTACAGTAGTAGATGGTCGAACAAACAATCACTATTAATGACCTTGAAATAAAATTATAATAAAATTTAAGTTATTAACAGAACAGTTCAATTCAGAGTAAAAATCGTAGGGTGCATTTTACTACATTTTCATAACTCTCCTCTCATAGATAGTTGCCAAGAGAATGATTGTAACATTTAATGTAGCACTCCACGCTTTTTACTCTGGATTGCGTTATTCTGTTAATAACTTAAATTTTATTATAATTTTATTTTGAGGTCGTTAATTATGATTGATTGTTCGACCATCTACTACTATAAAATAAACTCTTTGTAATTAAAAATTATTTTCTACTTTTTAGTTCGGGTAGCTCGTGTTTTTTTTTAGTTTTTTTTTAAACTATTATTAATTTTTATTTTTTTAGTCCGATTTATCAATTAGGTTTTTGTGGACATGTGGTATTGAAATGTCTTACGGATCATTTCGTAATCTAATCATTTCATTTAAAGCCTGTTGCATGGGGTTTTTCCTGTTAACTTCAATCCGAAGATCTTACACGACTAAGTGCTACATAAGCTTGTCCAGCAGCCTAGGTAAATGACTGCATGATCGACTGTACAACCTTGCATGTTGTGGACGGTCGAAGCCCAACTGAGGATTAATGGCAACATTCGCAATGAATAAGGTGAGAATACACTACCTTGAAAAAGTATTTGCCTCCGTTGTGCTGTGCCGAGTACCCGAACTAACAGAGTAAGTCTCTTACTCCCCTACAGAGGATCTATAAAAGAATTTATCAATCCCTGTGGTCCTAATAAGGATAATGGAAAATCCAATTATTCTTCTGGAAATTGGTGAAAATTATGCTCAGAGATTCCGTGAGATACATACATACCATACATACATACATACAGGCCAAGCTAATAAAAACGTGTTAAAAATAACAAACGTGAGAAGTAAAAATCTGAAATAGGCAACCGTTGCACCCAGTTGCTCTTCAGAACTGCTTTCCAGTGGCCCTGTTGAGTTACTCTGAGTAACTCGGACTTACTCAGTAGCGTTCAGCACTAATTTCCACTGCTCGTTGTATTCCCATCCCCAAACTCCTAAACCAAAAACCACTAGAAAGCAGCTGTCGTTGCAGGTTGTCGATTACGTCTGTCAGATTCAGCGTAAATACTCGTTCACATTAAAATATTTTGTAATCTCTAAATGAAGCTTTTCCATTTTGAGGCGACGTATTGGTTGAGCCATTAATTATGTGGTCAACACTTGCTAAAGAACAAATTATAATTTCATCCATCACAATAAATCTTTAATTTCATTAGCTCTTTAATGAAACTTAAAATCGGTGATGCAAAATTGATTCCTATTTTCTGCCTATTAAGCTGGCTATATTCTCAACAAAATTAGGTAAGTTAGATATCAATACGTCTATAATGTTTTTTTTGTACAAAAGTGTTTTTCCCAAGTTTTTTGAATAAGTCAATGGTTTTTGAGTTCTTTAAAAAAAGTTAATCAAAACAGTTTTTTGCACTTGCAAAAATATACATACAACGATTTTGTCGCAAAGTTGAAAAAAGTCACTTCGGACCCTTTTTGAATAATCCTCAATGACTTGTTCTGCTCCTAATTTTTTCTTGTTGCGAAAACTTCATTGGGTAGGTTACCGGTACAATGTTGTTTAAAAATTCTATTCATACAATAGTTATAACATCCCTGATTTTTTTTACCCCGAAGCACCCGCGCAGGCAGAAACCTGAATGCCAGCACACCGCGGATTCTATAAGGATCCGAAAGAAACTTTGTTAATCCGATTTTTGAACTGCCTAAGGTTAGTAGAGCTGGGAAAATCCACCTCTTGTAGATTGTTCCACAATCTCGACATCCAAGTGACAAAGGAGCGGTCGTATCGGCCAGTTTTGGATGTACGAAGTTCGACACGGTTAGGATGGGTGGCCGAAGTCAGGCGGGTCTGTCTGGCAGGCACATCGCGCGGCTGCATCATACAGGAGAGCTCTGAGGAGCAAAGCCCGTTGATGTAGCGGTAGAAGCGAGCTAGATCACCGACGGCCCGCCGGTGCGAAAGGGCCCCGAGACAGTTAGAGAAGAGTCATCGATCAGTCCTCTAGACAGCATCGAGCACGAATACCGAATATAGTCTGGGCGGCCGTACAAATAGCCTAGCTTTTTCCCAACAGCTGCCGCTTTTGACGAGATGTGTTCATCCCAGATCAAGTTCTCGGTGATCTGGATTCTGATAAGCCGAAATGAACGGCTGTCCATCGAAACCGGATGAGCACTAGGATGCTTTTTGTTCATCAAGGTACAGTACTGTGTTTTGGAAGCAGTGATAACCTTCAAGTCTCTCGTGAGAGGGGAAGTCGCTACTAGTCTTCTTTCTTCCAGCTCACCGGCAGATCGTCTTGTCGCTTTGAATTCCTGCATGTAGAGTGCTGTTATCAGGAAAGCTGTGGATTGGATTGATCGTACAGAAAAGGAGGTCGTTGATATGTATTAGGATAAGTGTCGGATCCAAGACCGATTTAATTTCTTCTCTGGATGGCTTTAATACAATAAGCAGCCGCAGAGTCCAACACATGGCAACAGTGTCGGGTGCGGCAGCGTCGCGCAAAAAGGGCGGTAAGGGCAGCGCACGGCACGGGGCAACAGGAGTTTGACGGCCACTAGCGCGTGGGGTGGCGACGATGGCTGTAGCTGAAGTTGCTGAAGGCAGTTTGTGTGTGCCTGCACAGCGCTCCGGAGAGACTCGAGGTCTATTCCAGTTGTTGCTAAGGCGATGCAGCAGCAAGAGTTGACGTTATTGAGAGGCGTCCATTATTGCTCACTTAAATTACACGGCGAATATAAAAATATAAATGATGCATCATAATTTTCACTAAAACATGCTTAATAATGCATATACAGGGCGATTAAATCGTGGCAATATTTATAAAGCAGAAAGTAGGTTCTAAGATAACACGGAAACTCCATATAAATATGGGCCCATCAATGTCTTCTTACAGGGTGGCCGTTGGAAGCTATAGTTTAAAAATCCAGATAAAAATATGTATCCCGAGTGGGTCAAGGTATCTGTAAATTGAGAATGAAGTACCTGTTTGGGGCACAAAGTGCGCCGTAGAAACTGGGACATTTTAACTCCTGCAGCAAGACATAAAAAAGAACAAGCACATTTTAAAAAAATATAAACCGCCCAACTGCAAGCAACTGAAAATAATGAATATTTAATTATGCTAACAAGATGAATCTTAGGACATATTAAATGTTAAAATCCATGAAATAGTGTGGGGTGTAGCCCGTGAAATAGAAAGTGCAAAGTTGCATTAGCATTTAAAATCCGCCATTATAATTTTATTAAATTTCAGTATACCCAGTGTCACACGCACTGTCAAAGCAAATCTAGATGCACCCCCATAGGGTTCCTGCCCCCTCGTTATAGTGAAAACAATCTTCACCATGTTCATAGTAATTTATGGGACGTGCATCTGCGCCGCTAACGTAAATGCCCTTGAGTCAAACATATTCAACGACCTAGCTTGGCGGTGAGTATCTTTAGAGGCATGAAGTTTTGTAAAATTCCAGGGTCCTAGGTCAAATGGTTCTGTCATTCACGTTCACAATTTTTTCAGAATTTTTAAACTTTGAGAGCTTCTCCATACCGAACCGTTCGACCTAAGACTCCGAATGTTTAAAGAGCTTCATGACTCCATAGGTACTTTATAGGAAAAAAAGTCAGCTCTATCTGGAATATAACCCGCCAAGCCAGGTCGTGCGATTTCAGTTTTGACCCACATACATAGCCACGTACGAAAAACATAACCCTCTGTCGGGAAGAAATATTTTCTACACCACTTGAGATACCTTTGCATTCTTGAATAAGAAATTGCTTTCGCTAAAATTATGGTTTGAATATGTGAAATAAAATACGTATAAAAAATTGGCGCAAGTGGGTTGATTTGACATGTATAAACAAAGGCATCAACTGGATCAAGTCAGTCAAATAGGTCCATACAATTAGTTCCCACCAATTTGGAAATGTCGCGATCATTGTGATAATAAAACACGGCCAGCTGCAGCGTCTAGCTCGCGACGGCTTTTTCTTCTACTAGCGGCTCGCCCCGACTTCCCATGTAACTGAAGTATCAGGGTGTTGTGTGGAGTATCTGGGTTACATTAACACGTAACTGGTGTTCATTCTACTTGGATTATTTTTAATGTATTCTATTTTCGATCTTGCAAATATTTGACAAGAAATAAAGAATAGGTACACTGAAAATCAAATACCACTGTCGTCGTAGTGTGTTTCAATTCAAATATAGAGCTTACAGTATTCAACAATATCGTTTCTGTTTCTGAAATTCGTCTCAAAATCAAAACCACAATACGCATAACAACTCAAAATGGTTCTAGCAAGGATTTTTGTGTGATTGGCAGCATTGACAGTACTGACAGTTATACATGAGTTTGTCTATTGATGTAAACACCGCAAAACATAATGGATGACCTTAAAGAAATACATCTTAATAAATCCTTGAAGAAATTGTTGTTGTAAAACGGTTACTCCATTTAAATTTGAACTTGCCAGCCTGACCGCAGGAAGCAACTAGATATTACAGAGTATTTACGAAATAAGTAGGAAACATCATGATGGTTAATTTTCGTTTAGGTTATAGTAAATGTAACGCTAATTTATGGAGATATCTAAATCAAATGTAATGGAGTAAACTTTTAGTAGTGGAACAAAATTATCTAGCTCAAGAAATCCATTATCGATCACGCAAATCGAATATAAAAGTGCTGACCTACTAGTGACCCACTTCACAGTCTAAGTATGTAATTTACTATTTTTTACTCAACAAGAAAAACTGACATTATAAGAGGCAAGTTGATCAAGTGCTCCTATAACAATGTAAAGCTCTAAAAACGTTTCAGTTTCGGTCTAAACTAAGTCAGAAGCCGAAAGTTCGTTTTCGGTATCGGCTGAAAATCCGGTTCGGGATGGCCCCTAGATTTCATGTAACATCAAAAGGATTAAGCAATTTTTTGATATGCTGGGTTCAGTGACAGATCCAGAATCTCCGGGGCCCAAAGCACGAAGATGGTTCGGAGGGGTTGCGAAGTACCAAAACAGGCCCAACTATATGCCTGGTGAAAATTGAAAAGCAGAGAGAGAAAGAGGGGTTAGGAGCGGCACTTTTTTATACCGAAGCACCCAGGCAGGCAGAAGCCTATATACCAAGGCATCGCGGCTGCTAAGAGGAGCACAAAGATTGTTCCAAAATCTCGATACCCTAGGGACAAATGAGCGGTCGAATCGACCAGTTCTGGATATACGAAGTTCGACGTGCTTGGGATGAAAGGCCGAAGTTACCCAGGTCTGTCTTGCAAGCATATCCGCCCGTCAGAGCAAAAGGGTTCGGAAACTGTCAGAGAAGAGTCATCGATCAGTCGAACAGGCGCAGCAGCCTACCAAATACATCAGCAGTACTCTTATCTGGCCTTGCACGAGTACAGAGTGACGAAATCGAGTCGAGAAAAGTACTTCTTAGCCCTAAGCAATAGCCCAGCTTTTTCCCAGTAGTCGCTATTGACGAGGTGTGTTTGTGTCGGATCAAGTCCTCGGTGGGTCAAGTCCAGCCAGCCGAAATTAATGGCTCTTTGGTAGAACTCGGCCATCAATCACAACTTGATAAGCGCTAGTGCTAGTAAAGGTTTGAAGGCATTAAACTGTACCAGATTGTTGCACCCCCAAGCAGTAATAGCGTCCGGGTATTTCGTCAGAGAGGAAGTCACTGCTAGTCTTCTTTTCATCATCTCACCGGCACAGACTGGCTTGTCACTCTGAATTCTTGCATGTGGAATGCTGTCATCAGCAATGCCGTGTATCGGATTGATCGTACAGGAAATGAGGCCGTTGATATGTAAGAGACACAAAGTCGGAGCCAAGACCGATCCCTGTGGAGCACCCGCGTTGACAATGTGGGCTGAAGAGGAGAACCACTCAATTAGACTGATATCTTGCAGCCATAGAAGAAGTCATCCACCCATCTCTGGAAGACCATAGGATGGAAGTTTGCATAAGAGCGCAGCATGTCACAGCTGATCGAATGCTTTCGTCATACTTGAATCAATGAGCCTCACCACAGGATTGGATGAGTTTACTCCACAGTTGCGGAACGTTAGCCAGGACGTCCCCGTGGATCGCTGGTGCCGGACACCATAATGTCTGTCGCTAATCAAGCCGTGACGTTCAAGGTACTCCGGAGGCTCCCGATTTATGCACCTCTACATGACATTACAACAGAAAGCAGACATATAGGCCTGTATGTAAGAGTCGCACCAGAAGCTTTGTTGACGAGCACCCGTCTTACGGTATTATGCCTGAAGGTTATTTCCGGCATAGTGTAGGGAAACGGTGGAAGGCTACTCCTTGAGAAGTTTCCTTCAATATGCTGGCCAGCGTCCTGGAAGGCCGACTGCAACTGCGCTGCGAGATTACCCAGTGCCTAATTTTCACATCGAACTAATTTTTGGTATTGCGAACCACTTCGTTATATTTATTTCTAGACAAGACGTCAGCTTGTCTGTTCTCTGCAGTGGGGTTTTGTAAGAAGGTTCCTTGATCTTCTACCGACGAGCAATGCACGATTTGTTGAACCCAGTCGTTAGACCTTGGTTTGGCACTTTCACTATATTTCTCCATCCCAACGTGGATAATTTCTGCAGGGTTGTTATAATTCAATCAAAATGTTTAAAACGGGTGTTTTAAACAATGTTTAAAACAATGCAGGTGTTTTAAACCAATTTGTTTTAGACTGTTTAAAACATGTTTTATTCAAGTTTTTTATTATTTTATTAAGTATTAAAACACATAGATACTAAAAAATATACTTTATTTTTTATTAATTAATCAAACATGAAACTATGGAACTAATGGCAATGTTTCTTAACGAACGAGTGAACTTAATAAACTGCATTGAACTCTTATACTAGTTCACTACAAGCAACATAATAATCATATAATATGACAATGTATTTGTATAATAACATTAAATAAGTTACTTAACAAATTTGTATAAAAGTATACAACCCATCTTATTTAACAAAAAATCCAGAAATCCATATTTTTAAAATCTAAAATCACGCAACTCCAAATAAAAAAATGTAATTACCTACTTTTTCACGCTTTCGTTTAGTTATTTAAATATGTACTGTGACCAATTTTGCTGCTTTTTCTGTGCCCAACTTATTGCGCAGTTTGGTATGGATTATCCCAAATAAGGAAAAAATACGCTCAAGTCCAGCAGATGAAGCAGCTGCTGTATGAAGCTGCTGAACTAGGTCAACTGTAACTTCATTTAAGTTATCTTTCAAGGACTTCCACCAAACAAGTGTTGTGAGGCCTTTCAAATTGTCTTGAAATAAATAATCCTTAAATAGTGATAACTTATAGTAAAAGGCATCGCTTCAGGATAATGACGAGAGGCATACTCAATCCCTTCTTCGCGATGGTCTAGATTCAATTTAAAAGTCCTTGGAATCGATGATCTAGTATATTTGCCAGATAGTGTGTTGGAGACATAGCCATATTAAGAAACCTTTTTTACAAAATGATTTCTATCTGAATCAGTGTAATTTTCATTTTCTTTAAAAAAGGCAAATAGGTCTATAAAAATGTCAGTGCATTCGCTAATTGTGCAGTCATCTCGTTGAATCTTATCTAGAGCAATTGCTACTTGTTTTAACTTTACTAAATAGTCCTGGGCATTTATTTTAAATTTAAATCATTAATTTTTTCCGAGAATAGTCAGCTAAAGTGTTCCATCTAACATCTTGTGGCATCACGAGAGCTTTTCCGCCAGATATTTTATATTTGCCTGTTGCGAAATGTACATTTCTAAAGCAATTTATAATTTTCTTTATGTGTTCTTTCAAAGTGGGCACCTGAATAGCTTGTACAAATAAATTTAAAATGTGTACAGAACAACCATAAGTAAGTATATCAGCTAGACCTGCTCAATCGCATTTTGCTAATTCTGCACGCATCTTAGTCATATTTACAGCATTATCTGTCACAACACTTCTGACAGTACAATTACGTATAATCTGTGTAACAACGCCTTATGGACTCCACTAATAAATTTAACAAGTATTCAGAAGTATGACTTTTGTCTTCAGTATCCACAGTGTCAATTAGATATACTTTACCTTCTTGAATATCATTTACGGACACACACACACTATTGAATCATTTCTAATATTGCTCCAACCATCAACAGACATACTGATTCATTACCTAATTCCATTTTTATTTCTACTTGTAAAGTTGTGAATACGTTACTAAGAAGTTCGTTTCCTGTTTGCTGACGATTAGGTGGCTGATATCCTGGACGCAACATTCCCATTAGCCGCTTAAACTCGGGGTGTTCCACTGCTCTAAAAGCACAGTTTGTGGCATAAACAAAACGTGCTACTTGGATATCAATTTTTTTACTCTCGCTACATGTTGTTTTGACAACGAATGAATCCACTCGCGATTTTAGTTGGACATCATCTCTATCTCCTTGTCTTCTCGACAATAGCGAAAAACTGGATGACACTGAACTAATAACATTGCTGTTAGTGTAATAGGTCTGTGACGAGCCATCTAAAAAATAAAGCGTACCTATGTAATAATTGTAATAATATCTAAAAATTCAATGCGATTGATTAATTTGCTTGTACAAAACAAAAAGTATATACCGAACCTTAACACGGACCTGTTTTATTAATTCTTATATATTTAACATATTTAAACAAAATTTAACATTAATTAGGTATTTCTTACGTTTTTCACAATTCTCCAAGATACTTAACTTTGAGGAAATAGGTTCGATAGAAACATCATCATTGTCGGTATCACAACTATCTGTTATATGAATATTTTGTTTTTCTAACAAACTTCAATGTTTAAGTTGTGTACAATTTTTAATATGCTTGCGCATTCTAGCCACCAGTGGCACTACATCCATATTGCAGGTCAAAAATTTTGCTCTTTTATTTATCTTCGAGCCAGCTTTGGCATCAGTCTCTTTAAACTATTTCCGCACGGGATCCTTTCTCCTCCCTGTCATTGTCTTTCTTTTTTTTTAGCCGATCTTTAATGCACAAAAAACAAATCACACCACCACCCTACGACTTCGCACATTTGACTGCTGGAGATCGCAACGCGAAAAATTACCCAAAGTCAAACGGTACTACCCCGACGTCCGCACGCTAGTTTCCCGACGTCTGCTTTTAAATTAGAGATGGATCAAAAATAGTAATAACACTTTCAAAGAACTTCATTAACGTTGCTAGATTATATAGGCAACAGTTTATGAATTTTTTTACTCTTTTAAACATGTATTAACAGTGTTTTAAACATGATTTTTGTTTTTTTTTCAACCTTGAATTTCTGTTACTAACGAACAGACAGCAGACGCATCCGAGTCAGCCAAACAAACTTCTCCCTAAGGAAAGGTGCAGAAGAATTCTCTGAGCCCTTACCATCCGGCATGTCCGTAATGCCAAATTTTTACCCAGGGGAGACAACAGAGCTGTAAGGGACAGGATGCGTAGCCAGAAAGAGATCCAACATACTATTGGCGTGTGACGAAGGGCGGGGGCAATAGGAGGGCTCATCACCAGGTCAGTCCTTGGGTAATAGCGAACGCTTCAACAGCACGACCTGCTGCATCGATCTCGTTTGAGCCCAGACAGACCTCATTATGGGCATTGCAATCACCGAAGAGAAGTACCTCTGAAGCAGGATAATTGATGTTCAAGAAGTCGATCTTCACAGCGAGGTAGGTATTCAATTAGGTCATCCAAGTTGTGGTTCGACGGAAATTTGAGTGATGGAGGAATTGAGGCGAAGCCACAGGATATCCTTCCAGGTTGATTTCAAATAAACGTATCTGGAGCAGGAAATAGTGCTGTGGGCAAACGCCACTACTTGAACGTTCTCCCTCGGATTGGAGTGCACCTCGTACAGCATCAATGTTGCTATTCGTGAAAGAGATTTTATGATCAATGTTGTTCCCCGGACATTGCTAGAATGGAGTGAGTTCACGACCGGAATTCTTAGTACTCGAGGGATCCATCACCATTAATGTCTTTGTTCTGAAGTGAAAGGGAATAAAACTGACTGCGTGGCTTACATGTGGAAACATGCGAATATTTTAAGACAACGTGGAAAAATTTAGCGGATGGCCTCGGTCGACTACGACTTATCTACCGCCTTATTTTTAATAAATAGACTTAAAGCGGTCAGAGTGTGTGGTCCCTAAGAAACTAGTTTTCTGGTGCCGCTTGTGGGGCCCCTCACCTCCCCGAAGCCTGACGGAGAGTGCGTCGTGTGCGTCATCTTGAATTCGCTCTTTCGTGCGGGGGTTGAAATATTTCATCATTTGAAGTCTTAAAGGCAAATCTGCAAGGAAATCAATGTGTGAAATATGTCTTCTCGGTGCGTAGAATTGCCTATAAGTATTTTAATTTTTTTCGTGAAGTTGACTCGAAAAACAATGTAATTTTCGAAAGTTTTCGTGATTAAAATACTTCCTCGCCAGTTGCTGTGGCAAGTAAAACGTAAAGTGCATTCTATTTCCAGAATCTGCTAAAATTATTAAGATTTAACGATAAAAAATTTATATAGTACACTTATATTAGGGGCTCAGTCCTATCACTATAGCGTTATTTGAAGATTATTCATGTATTCTCCTTGGTCTCATCAGTAGCGATATCACACTGTATCTTGGTAATGGTATATTTTATGTTCATAGAAGCTTTTATGTAATTATAATACCAGTGTTTGTTATTCTGTATGTACTCCAATTTGCGCCCAGGAAATTTTTTTATCGCGATTTTATTTTTGATCAGGTGAATCGTTTTGGAGACGGGCAGGTCAGGCTTGGGGGGAGGCGGGTAATCTAGAAAGCTACAAGTAGACGGCACTACATAGGTCGGAGGTCATGTCTAACGTTATGAGCAGAAACGACGAGCTATGACCTGCGACTTCATACGCGTTAAATAGTCACTAACAAAAGGGTGACTTTGAAGTTGAGTCATTAATTTTCAGATAATGATTGTAGAAGGAAGATAAACCAAAATATGTGTGTAAAAAAAAAAAAAAGTAAAAAAATTTTTTTACCTTGTTTTATAAAGTATCCTCCCGACAAGTATTTCAGTGCGGACCTGTATTTGATCGTGAGGTCCCCTGTGAGGTCTTAAGTCACCTGATTCACGAGCCCGTTGTACTACATTAACAAAGTCACGAGGGGTTGGTTGCACTCGATTGGGAAACCGATCCGCATAAACATGTGCCATTTTTTATTTCGTTTGAGCCACGCAACAGATACCACTATTCACTGACACTGACTGTATACAAATGAATGAAATAATTGTAAAAACATCGTTCCAAATTCTTTCGCTTTTTTGTTTCCGATGCGATGAACCGATACGGCGGATTATATCCGTTGTCGCCAAACACGAGCACATATATTATCATTGAGACAGGGCGGTACTCAAACTTCCAAAGGGCTATAACTTTGTTACTTTAATTTTACCAGAAAAATGGTAAAGGAAAAAACATTTCTTTTGATCAGATCTACTCACTGTTAAAATAAATGACTCAACTTCGAAGTCACCCTGTATAACATTGTTTTTGAGTATTGTTATAATTGCGCTGCATTAGTAAACTGAGAGTCAACTTGCATGCTTGGGAAATTTTGTTGTTTCATTAATGGTGCCACCTATAATCTGTGGGGGTAAAACCGCGAGGCAGAAAGCCAACAAATTAATAATATTACCGATTTTTTAAAAAAAATTTAAATTGTAAAAGCTACCTCTCCGCCAAATCTCCGGTTTCATAATCCATTTTTAGTTTAAGTCTACTCTAAACAGAACATCATCATTGCCAATTTTTTGACATTAGAAAACTCCAAGCAATTTCAAACCTGCCAATCCGGTCCTGCCACAAAATCCATTCTCAGCTGAAATGTCCTATCGATAAGCTACCTCCCTGCCAAAATCATCATCATGTTTGTAGGTCGAATAATTTGCGATATTTCGGAATTAATGTGTATCTTTTGACTTTTATATATATTTTCCCTTAACTCCCTTAATCCGGCATGGTTAGGAAATTCGTTCTTAACTGACATGTCCTGTCCATAAACTATCTCCCAAGCAAATTTCATGTTCATAGGTCAAAAGGTTGTCGAAATTTCGTGATTATTGCGCATCACGTCTTAGTATTATTTTGTGTGAACGTGTCCAAAATAACTTACTTTTGAAATCACCTATCATTATGTGACATTTTTTATTGTACATTGAATAATTTAAAATGTGTATTCCAGCAATATCTCGAATACATTTATTAGACTAAATTATTTTCAGTCTCTCTTGCGAATTTTCCTAAAACTACTTTAGATTGCAACTCTCAATAGATGACAAAAGACATTCATATATCATTTCTCATATTCTTTCTTAGACCCATCGTTTCCTTGCGATTCGCAAAAATCATGTCTCGGCAAACAAACATATGAAACCTAAGAGCACCATCAACTGCTTTATCGTTTATTATATACAGATATATACCAGGTATATTTTTTAGCTCTTTCGAATAGTTAAAAAGCAGAAAAATATTGAGGGCAAGGTGAATTTTGTTGACTGGATTTTCTAACGAAAACTGATAAAAACTTTTCCAAAAAAGTACAGTTTTGAGCAATGTTGAGTCACAATTAATAACGCTATCGCTTTTGAAAAAGCGCACCAGAAATAGCCAAAAATTGTTTTGGAAATGTTAGCTACTTTTTCGGGGTTTTCCCTATTTTCGTATAATGTTTGGAAACGATCCGTTTTCAAAATACCCTTCAGTCGGCTTTGTTAAAATTTGATAAAATATAAAATCTACAGACATATCGCCGGAAATTTAATTAAAACCATTAAAAGAAACGCTTTATTAAAACCACAAATTATCATTTAAACTAGATCTACGGATGTTAATGACTTTGTTTTTCTTTCTTTCCGAAATTACGCCTGTATATTCTTCATAGAGAATATCAAATTTGATGCTCTACAAAGCGTATAGCTTATGCAACAATAAGCAAATGTTCTCAGTACCATATACACCAAAGCCTAAAGATCACAGGGACATTAAGTTCTGAAAATATCTGAATGAGCCAACCAGATCCTGCATCCTACATGAAATCTTGAGTATTGGTATCCGAATCAGGCGTCGTGCGGTGTGTAGGCTAACCTAGTTTATTTATAAATCGAATTTAAAGAATAAAAATTGACACCTTTCTAAAGCAATAACGAGGTTATCGATTTGAAGATAATTAATTACCTGGATATTTCTGGATATTTCTGTCTCGAGCCGCGAAGGTTTATCGTGCAAAGACCATCAAAGTGGGGAGAAAACCTAGCCTCCCTCCCCCTAACCGACTGTTGCAAATTTAGGATTGAATTAATACACTTTGGTTTTACTTCTTGCGCCACTGGACGAGGAAGTATTGTAATCGCGCAAAAGTTTCGAAAATGAGATGTTCTGTTTTTTGGATGTTATATGAAATGTTCACGCAAAGTTTTTTGAAAATTGGTCCAGTGACGGCGGAGGAAAAAGCAAAAAAAACGCTTGAACTACGTTTTTGACGTTTCAGAGGGTCCAGATGATTTTCAGAATAAACTTTGTAGGTGTTGAAAGTCGAGGGTTGAGGGGTGTAGGGGGTGGGGAATATATGAAACTTGTTTGATGTCAGTATATTTATACGCTCTCAGCCCCGGTAATTTTATGCACATATTAGGCATATTTCGCAAATAGATTTTCCAGTACATTTGCCTTTAAAACAGAATGACGGAGAAGTATTTTCGATCTGCAATCTGGAAAGGGACAACGTTGCCAGATAGACCGTAACTACCGGTTGAACAGGAAAATAATGTCGATGGACTAATTGTATTTGCCTGCTTGATTGACTTATTCCATTTAATTTCCCTGTTGTACATGTTTGTAACTGACTGTTTTCTCAGAGGATTTAAATTGCGCTGAACTTAGTCCTTTATGAACTGATGACGGCGTTGCGTTGAAAGTGCAGGCGTCATTTTTTAATTCGAACGCGAAAAATTTTAAACAACATGTGACAGGACAGTACTTGAAATTTCTTATCAAGTGAGAAGTGAGTACTTTTTTTACGTTTTCGCTCCTGCTTTGCCGCACATTAGCTTAGTAATTTTGAACTTAGTTGTTTCAGGAAAGGAATGTCTGTATTTTATCAACCTTGATTGAAAGATTGTTATGGTTTTTACAAAAAGTGGCTTTCAAGTTTTACTTTATATAATTTAGTGAGATCCGTCGGTAACCATTAAGGGCACGTTTACATCGAGCGCGCTTCGCTTGGAGCTGTGCGCCTCACTTCATGTCAAGCGAACCTCTATGCGTTCGGGTTCATTCATATCGGAGGCGCTTCGCTTTTCATACCTCGACTGTTATTAAAACACACTTTATATTTAAAGACGCATTTTCCAAGCATTTCACCATGGCTCCTTCACGAGTTAAGAAGATATTACTACTCGAAAGTATTGCGTTGAAAGTGAATAGAAAAAAACTAAAACGATCGTGGGTGCATGAGATTAATATATGTAGGAAATCGTTCGGAGAATTCTATCACCTCTATCGAGATGCCAGAAAATATCCAGAAAAATTTTATGAATACTTGAGGATGTCAAAGGAATCTTTCGACCTTCTCCTAAGCCATTTGGATCCTTATTTATGTGGGATTGGAACCAATTTCCGTGAAAGGATTTCAGCAGAACAACGTTTGGTTATAACATTGAGGTAAGCCAAAATAAAATTATAGTGTTTATGAAAAACTGAGTTTTATTTTATTAAAAAATACATTTGTCCGAATAAAAATGTTACGCGTTATATCCTGAAAAAAAACTTCGCATAGGGGTGTCCAATTCACTACCTTCAGATACATTGTGTGTGGTCGGATCCGGATGTGTTGACTGTATCGGTATGTGATGATGGTATGTATGATTGTCCGAAGCGGAACTTGAGGGAGCGGGGAAGGTAAAGACACGTGCCGGAGGTTGTCCACAAACATTTTGTGAAACTTCACTTTCATGCTCCTCAACTTGCTGAAGAAGCAGTTCCTGAAACTTTAATCTTAGACGTAATCTTCTTGAAGCAGGAAGACTCTTCATGTATGGCAAAAGACTCTTTAGGAACAAAAGATCATCATCATTTTCTTTAAGTGATTCAGACTCTAGGAGCTCAAGTTTCCGTTTTTCTAACATTATTAGTTCGCTATTGTCGTTTTCTGTTGCCAGTTGCTTCTTTCGCTTCTGCGCCCCCTTCCGAGTTTCAGAAGTAGAAGATAATCGGCTTGCAGACCTTGAAGGTGCTTGACTGCTGGTCGATGGCGGTGACAA